AACATGGTTAGGTGATTTACTTTCTGATGGGAACCCAAAACCCCCGGATCTCCTTCGTATTCATTCTATCCATGCTCTGAAAATGCTGTTCTTCTCTGACAGTGAAATCTGTTTTCATTCTCAGTCCTTATTTCTCCTTTTGAAAACTTTCAGCCTCAAAGGCACTGCAATGAGAAGCTACACCCAATGCTTCGCTCAAAAGCAGTGACCACACATGAATGCTCTGCCTCGGTGGGCAGCTATTTGGCTATTTGTTGAGCCCTACATTGCAGGCCTGTTCTATTCATTAGGCATCTGGGGTTCAATGCCTAGTGACAATGAACTTTTAAAGGGCCTACAAAAGTGTTTGAGGCCTGAAAAAAAATTATCAACACCAAAATACAAAAAGAAAAACAATAGTTGAGGTAATAAGTGTTAAAGTAAATGTCTACACAAACTATTCAACTTGATCAATCATTCAAGAAATTGACAGGCATAAAAATTGTATCACATTTGCAAAAACTTGCACATTAGGTTTTGGAACTTCCCCTGTTCATACCACTTCCTGACAATGCACAATGATTGGTCAAGAAATATTGGCCAATTATAAATTGAATGTGTTGTTTATAGCCAAGCAATTGTAAGCTGTTTAAAATGTTTTACTAGAAAAATAATTAATTTGGTATGAGTGCACTGAAATGCACTTCCAATGATATGACAAGATGACTTCAGAAGTACAATGTTTACAAATCAACTCAAGCCTGTTCAATCAGGGCTGAAGGCTTTGGAAGTAAAAGACGAAGAAGACATCTCCTAACCTCCCAAGCTGCTACCAAGTCTCAGAAGAGACTGACAGAGAAAGAGCAAAAGGATTTGCAGGTGAGGGAGGAGAGAGAGGAGCAGGAAAAATAATAATGGGTACTAGGCTTAATACCTGGGTAGTGAAATAATCTGTACAGCAAACTCCCATGACCCAAGTCTACCAATATAAAAAGCCTGCTCAAGTATCCCTGAACTTAAACTAAAAGATAATTTAAAAAAAAAGGATTCACAATGCAGAGGTAGGCACAGATCTTGTGGCTGTGCATAAGCACTCCCCTCACCTACCACCCCCGAACATCCGCACACACACTGGGGGGATGATAGGGACATAAGACATTATCCTTAAAGAACACCTGCCCTAACCTATTAATCCCATTAAGAAAATATTTTGGAATTTGAATCTAGCTCTGAAAATATTAAATTGATATGAATATGAGTCAAGTGTTATCATAAAACATACAGGATCACTTTGGGAAGCCGAGGCAGGCGGATCACGAGGTCAAGAGATACAGACCATCCTGGCTAACATGGTGAAACCCCGTCTCTACTAAAAATACAAAAGTTAGCTGGGCGTGATGGCACGTGCCTGTAGTCCCAGCTACTAGGGAGGCTGAGGCAGGAGAATTGCTTGAACCCGGGAGGTGGAGGTTGCAGTGAGCCAAGATCGTACCACTGCACTCCAGCTTGGCACCTGGCGACAAAGTGAGACTCTGTCTCAAAAAAAAAAAAAAAAAAAATACAGGATACAGTAGCAATTCTTCATGTTTGTTTCATGCCCCAAAACACATGAATGATGACTTCTTGTATTTCATTCTTTCATCATCAGTTCATGTGTATTGACCAATTACTATGTGAAGTAAACCTCTTCTGGAAACATCTATTTGATACTCTCCTGTGATTTTGAGGATGTCCCTGGAAATATTAAAGAATAAAGCTAATAGACCTGCAGACTTCTTTTTTAAATATGATATTCACAAAGCAATATTGCTTTTTAAAGGATCCAAACATAGGTAAAATCAATGGAATTGTTGAAGTTCTAGTTCTTTCTCCCTGTTCAGAAAAAGAAGGAAAGTTAGTGACTGACATCACATTCATAATTCTTTAATTGTAAATAATTGCCAAACATGTATATTCAATTTTTATTAGCAACATATCACTTAGCACTTTTTCCTCCTGCTCTCAATTCCAAGAATGATTGGCCATTAGATCAGAAGGTGAGGTTCATAGTTTATTAGACTAAGAGGAAGGAGGGCAAGAATCTATCTAGTCCCTATGACAAATAGCCAACTGAGTCTTAAATGTTCCTAAGAACTAAGCCATACTCACTACTCACAGGCAACCTGGGAGACAGGGAGAGTCCCATTGAAAAGAAAATAAGTGAGTGTCAGGCTTGGTGGCTCACACCTATAAGCCCAGCACTTTGGGAGGCCACAGCAGAGGACCACTTGGGCCCAGGAGTTCAAGAGCAGTATGGGCAATATAGCAAGACTCTGTCTCTACAAAAACTAAAAAAAGAAAAGAAAGGAAGAAAACATTAGTGGGGCACTGTGGTATGTACCTGTAGATCCAGCTATTCTGGAGGCTTGAGCAAGAGGATTGCTTGAGTTCAGGAGGCCCAGTCTGCATTGAGCTATGATCATGCACTACACTCCAGCCTTGACAACAGAAGGAGACCCCATCTCAAAGAAAAATAAAGAAAGGAAGTGAGAAAGCCAGAAAGGAAAAGGAAAAAGGAAATAGGAAAAACAATAATATCATTGCTTTATGAATATCATATTTAAAAAAGAAGTCTGAAGGTCTATTAGCTTTATTCTTCAATTTTTTTAGGAAAATCCTCCAAATCACAAGAAACCATCAAACAGAGGTAGGAGAATAAAAGAGAAGGAGGGAAATGAAAGGAGACAAAGAAAGAGATGCAGATTATTTGAACATTTCCAGGAACTTCACAGCTCTGGAGTTTTCCATACTCCACCATCCCCCACCTTTTCCCTCCACTGCTAATGCATTTTGTAAGCAAGGCAAGAGGTAATAAACACTACTTCTCCCCTCCAAATTCTTGCAGATGGTGTGAGAATAAACAAGGTAATAGATATCTAAGTGCACTGAATCCCTTTTCTGAGGTAAATCCAAAGCCCTTTCCCCACCCCACCCACCCTTCTTTTTCAACTTATTTAAAAGAGGGATAAAACTACTTCTCGTCTTCTGTTTGGGGGAGTGAGTGCTATCTGATACAGTGATTCCTATTTTTGGCCCAGCAACCATCATGAATAATCTGGTTAGTGTGTTTTTTCTGAGCACTGCTTGGCAGTCATAAGCAAATGCATTAAGTCAGAACAATAAGTACATTGATCCCCTGAATATATTACTATTAGATTCAGTATTCTAGATGGTGTGGGGCTCAGAAAATGATACCCCAAAACAAAGGCCTCAGAAGCAAAAGTCTCTCTCTGACCTCCTGCCCTCTTTTCCCTTGACCCTTATTCTCTCTCAAGGCAAGTCATAAGAACTAGAATCTGTTTCCCCCAAGGTGATCATAGAATCCAGAAACCATCCTCACCAGTCAGCTGTAGGGCCTAAAAGTATTGCTCTAACTTCCCCTCCTCCCACACCCACCACTTTTGTGTGTATTAGCTGGCCATAAAGAAATGGAGACCCTCCTTCCAGGGGAGTTCTATTCCATACATGGAATGTGCACAGAGTCCAAGAGAGTCTGAACAGAGCGGCCTTGCTGAATTTCCCCATTCAGTCTATTAGCATTAGATGATACCACTTGCCCAATCATATCTCTACACAACTGTCCACACTTTATTGAACCTAACCATAAAAATGAATAATTTCCCCTGTATCTTTGAGTCTTCAAAGGTTTCATGTCACCTAAAACTACAATCAAATATTAAATTTCAAAAATCAAATTTCTTATGCTCTTCTCTTGTTAACTCGTCTTTGCTGTAGGGGTGTCTGCCTTGGTTCTTGCGATAGGGAGGAAAGAGATCACTCTCTTTCCACTCCTACAATGAAGAGGAACTAGCAGGATATTTACTTCATCGAGCTTAAAAAGTGACTGAAAATGAAATTTCAACTGGCAACAGAAAGGGAGATTCTATCTGGCTTTCTTTCTCAATGTTCCAGTATCATTTTGAGATTATAACAAGACATGTTTGTCATCACGACTTTGTTAGCCTTCCAAAAGAAGTTCAGGATTAACCAGAAAATATATTATTTAGAATAAGACATTAATAATACATTCTTCAAGGAAACAGATACAAAATAAGCCAATAAATCTCGTCAAAACTAATTATCAAAACTGGATCACAAGATGTATACCAAATATGCATTTGCATTTGTGCCTGAGCACTGGAGCCCAGAAAGACTCATCCTATCACTGGCAGATGCATCCCAAGAATTGGCAATGTTGAGTCCTATCATCACAATGCTTCTTTCTGTTAAACCGTTTAAAATGTTTGACAAATGCGTTGCAAAACTATCCAAGGAAATGCTTCCCTTCCAGGGATTAGATTCTTGAAGCATACCATTGACACTGGCCTTTGTCAGTGATTCAGCCTACATTAGCAAAAGAAAGCTTCTTACAGACAGACTAGGCTCTTAAGAACCCTCTAAAGAGAACACTGAGGGCTTTGTTTTTGCTTCTTCACATGTTGTTAATGAAAGTTTAACTGAGGGAAAGAAGGTAGTTCTTTGTCCTCAGAGATTTGGCTTTCTTTTTCTTTCTTTCTTGTACTTCTTTTATATAAATAACAATTATTTCCAATCTTTACCATGTTAAGACTGTAGTCTAATCAGATCACAAAGAGACAAATGACTTGATTTCTAATTAAATAGAAAGAAATCATCTAAGAGAATGATCTTTCTCTCAAGTGTGTACAGCTACTGAAAAGCCTTTTTCCTTTGCCAGGAAAGAAAAAAACAAAAACAAAAACTCAAAGCTACAGAAATTGGGAATTTGGCTACAGATGAATATTTTTCCACATAATAGGACAGTGCTACAGAATGGGTTCTTAGACAAATTTTCCTTTTATTTGAGTAATTTTTTACTGTGACGTAGCTTGACTCTTTCACTTGGTTTCCCATTTACTTTCTTGAAGTCTTGTTTCTAATTAAAAACTAACCTTATCTCTCATTATTTGTTTATACTGTCAGATGTCTTCATTTTCTTATTTTATTCTTTATTTCATTTCCAGAAACCACTGACTTCACAAAGAAACTTCAATAGCTCATCATGGTACTCAAAAACTCTTCCTCCTTGAGATGGACAAAGTTGCATCTAAGCCTAAACTTGATTATGTGCGGCAGCACATTTTTCCTCACATTCAAATGTAGAAGCAGAGTAAAACAGCACAGTTTACCCTCTCTGAATCCCATATCTTATTATTGTTTCTTATTTGAATATGAAGGCATATTATGCATCTAATATTATACAAGACGTGAAATGATGAAAGAATATCCCCAACCTCCAAACCATGGGGATTTGGGGAGGTTTAATACAAGACCTCTTATCTGACACAATGACACAATCAGGATTTATATAGCATCATTAAGTGAAAAGTCATTTAGTGTAGGAAATATATGTGTACATACACACAAACACATTGTATTTTAACTTAATATTGTTGAATAATATTATATTTAAATTTTCAGTGCCACAAAAGGAGTAGCACTGGAATATAAATTCTCTCAGCAAGGCAAACTTACTTCTATAGAAGGGTATGTTGCACAGATGGAGCAATGACGAGTGCACGTCTGGACAAGGGAGGAGAAGGGGTTCTTATTCCTGATGCAGGTAGCCCCTACTGCTATGTTGCTCGCCTATTGGCTAGGGATAGACTTCACAGTCTAAGCTAATTTCGATTGGTTATTTTAAAGAGAGCAGGGGTATGAGCCAGACTGGCGGGGTGGGTAGTTTGGCAGGAAGGACAGTAATGGGACGGGTGAGAGGAGGTGACCAGGGATGACTCAGGTCAAAGCAGGTGACCAAGGCAGGTGACTGGAGCAGGTGACTGGGATGACTCAGGACAGAACAGGGAACCAGGAGAATAGGATGTTGTCAGGCTTCCATGTGCAAGTCCAGACCCAGAAAATCTAAAGTCCTGCCTGCCTCAGCTGATCACCCTTACACCCCTACCCCACCCCTGCCTGCTAGCTGTTATCCTGCTCTCTTTAAAATAGCAAATCAAAACTGAACATCATTCATAATGTTTTGAGGAAGATTATTTGAGATGATTTTTGCAAAATGATTAAGAAATTTGCAGTTATTGTAAATGGTCAAGTTTTTCAAATCTAGTACCCCTACTTAGTGCTATCTATGTGACCTGCTATTTTTCATGTCTTGGCAATTTTCTCTTTTCACATATCTTCGTTAGTATTTCTGAAAACATCTGCTTTGTCTTTCATCCTTTTTGACAGATGCAGATGAGTAATCACTAATTAGATGGTAATAAAGACCATGGAAGTCCCCCTTATCCACAGAGAATACATTCCAAGACCCCAGTGGATAACTGAGACCTTGGATAGTATCAAAGCCTATATAATATATTATGCTTTTCTTGCTTACATACCTATGATAAAGTTCACTTTTATAAATTAGGCACTGTAAGAGATTCACAACAATAACAATAAAATAGAACAATTACGTCAATATTCAGAATGGCACACAATTTAAAACTTATGAATTGTTTGTTTTTAAAATTTCATCTAGTATTTTCAGACTGCAGTTGACAGTGGGCAACTAAAACCACAGAAAGTGAAACTGCAGATAAGGGGAACTAATGTACAACATGAAGAGTCCTCACTTCTGATGACTTTAGATGACGTAATTGATCACCATTGTTCCTTGAAAACATTGGATGTTACTTTCTCTATAGCATAGAGCCATACATTTATTCTCTTAGTTCTAGACTTGTTTTTATGAACTTCTGGACCCACCATAAGTAAACAAGCCTTCTATTCTTTTATGCTTCTCTACAGATACACAGAGAAGTATTGTCCTGTATTTTATTATTAATAAACAGTTCAATTTCCTTCCCTAAATAAACAAAAAAGTAGGTGAGTTTTTCTCTCAAATACCGTTATGTTTTTGGAACAAGCTTTTCAAACGTTTCATTCTATATTCCCATGACACTCAAACACCACCTGAGTATATACAAAATAAAATGTTTTTTTGTCTTTTTGGTTTTTTACCAGGAACACATGCACTTTATTGAACACAACTGTGGAAAAGTGTGTGAGGGTAAAAGGCTGATACAGGATTGGCTGGGGGCAGGGTGAGAAATGGAAGCTGGAGTAAGTCGGAGACAGGTCATGAGCAGAGCCTCTGGCCAGGATGATTCCTCTGTATCTACTAATAGGCTTGCAGAATCAGTATTGGGATGATGATCAGCAGAATGGTCATGATGATACCCAATATCAGGGCCCAGATGTTCAGGCACTTGGCGGTGGAGGCGTAGGCCTGGGCCCCGGTCAGGTCGCCAACCATTTTTCTGTCCCTAGACTTCACGGAGTAGGCAAACACTATGAAACCCAGGCAGCAGAAGTTCACGAAGAGGGTGTTGAACAGGGACCAGATGACATGGTCGGGCACGGAGGTCTTGCTTCCGATGTGGATCACGGTGGATGTCGGGGGTGCATGGTTGTGGGGCACCCCCAGCGCAGCCACCTCATATTCCTCCTTCAGCATCTCATAGTTCGGGGAACGGTTGGTGCTGGCAAGAGTGAAGAAGGTTTGGATGGTGTGGTCCATGGTGTCCAGGGAAGATTCGACATAAGTTTTTGACAAGTTTAAAAATGATAATAAACAGGACTGGGCACGGTGTCTCACCCTGTAATCCCAGCACTTTGGGAGGCCAAGGCGGGTGGATCACTTAAGGTTGGGAGTTCGAGACCAGCCTGATCAACATAGAGAAACCCCATCTCTACTAAAAATACAAAATTAGCTGGGTGTGGTGGCGCACACCTATAATCCCAGCTCTTGGGGAGGCTGAGGAAGGAGAATCACTGAAACCCAAGAGGTAGAGTTTGTCGTGAGCTAAGATCGTACCATTGTACTCCAACCTGGACAACAAGAGTGAAACTCTGTCAAAAGAAAGAAAGAAAAAAAGAAGAAAAAGAAAAGAAATCTTAAAAATATATATAATAAATGGAAATTATTTAGTGCAATATCTGGTGCATACTAAGCAAGCACTCAATATGTAATCACTACCAGTATTGTCATTTCTTATCAAAGTATATACAAATAAAACAATTAAAACCTTATGGAATGGGAAAGAAGGATACATTTATAGATGGTTGGTATAGATCTATGAACAACCATTTTTACTTATATAAAACATTTAATATATTATGTGGTTTAGAACTTATTGTGTATCAATAGGTGAGAGAAGAGATTAATCAATAATTAGTTTTCAGAATGGCTAATTAACTATTTTGGAGAAAATTGTGGGAACACTCCCATGTGAGACTCCCAAGTAGTGGGTCACACCATATGGTTGAGCTTGATCCCAGACACGGGCCCCCTGTTGGAGGTAGTTGAGCTATGGGGAAGAAGGACTGCAAGAAGGCTTCTGTGATATACAAAAAATAACATGAGTTATTACTCTGTTGTGCTGATGTGATGGGAGGCACGGTGTCCACTTTTGGTTCTCACGGTGTCCACTTTTGTTCTCACGGTGTCCACTTTTGTTCTCACGGTGTCCACTTTTGGTTCTCACGGTGTCCACTTTTGGTTCTCACGGTGTCCACTTTTGTTCTCACGGTGTCCACTTTTGGTTCTCACGGTGTCCACTTTTGTTCTCACGGTGTCCACTTTTGTTTCACTAGTCATTATAGTTTCTTCTTAAAGTTATGACTTAAATCTTCAAAGCAAGCTGATAGTAAAAATTGCTTTGTTTATGTCTTTCCTGCACCTGGACCCTTGATATGGTATTTACAATACTGCTTGTGACTTAATGATTTATAATGTAGCCTGTGATTTTCTTGTGAAATTCCTGCCCTAGATAAATAGTTTCTTTTGAACTTCTAAACTTAGATATTGCACCTGGACTCTTGTGATTGATAATTGCACCCCCCGCTTTAATCTGATTATGTATCTCCCTGTTCCCAGCATATTTATCCAAAATATGGTGACTTGTGATTGTATTGTAAAACTTTCTGTTCCCACGAAACACTGATCCTATGATGTAAACACTTCTACTTGTAATGTATATAACCAGACCCTGAGTTCAATAAAGTTGTTGGTGAAGCATCTGACTTCTCAACCCTCCAGACCCCGTCTTTTCTTTCTTCTTCTCTTCCGCACACCCCGCTTTCCAGGTTGGGACCCTCTTGCTGGCCAAGAGCCCCCCGGCAGACGTGCCAGCCCCCATAAAAATGAATTCCTCATTGATGACAGATGAAATTTTTCAATATTTATTTTAAGTAAGGTAAAATATAGGTGAATATCTGATATTTAACACAGAATAATATTCTAAGCTTACTAGTAATTGGGAAAGGAAGAGTAATATATTTGGTAGCATTAAAATGTAAAGCTTTGTTGTATAAAAAAGCAACTAAAAGCTAAAGGAAACCATAAAACATAGGGAAAAAATAATGCAAATATCAGAAAAAGTTAATAATTTTATTTAAAAAGTATATGCATCAATAAGAAGTATATTAGGAATCAATAGAAAAATGGACACAAGATAAATATGAGAGAAAATTTTGACCTCTGCTAGTACAAATGATTAAAATATTTTAAAGTATTAATACTCAATGCTAGCAATAGTGCAGTGAAATGGTGTCTTCAGACAACACAGAGGCAATTCCAGGGGCTACAACCTTTCTTAAAAACCATTTGGCAATATATATCAAAAGCTTTCTACCCCTTGATTTTAAGATTCTGTCTTAAGAAAATTATCTAGGTGTTGCTTACTAGGGGAAAGGTTAAATAAAGTTTTGATATAGCTATATGGTAAAATATTACATGGTCATTAAAAGTAATGTATAAGAAGGGCACTTAAAACATAAAAAATGTTTATAATGTTAGTATAATAATACTAAGAATAAAATAGCAGGCTCTACCTTGTCTTGTGTAACAATCATTAACATACCAAATTTTTCTGTGTTATTTAACACATCACAAGTGATAGAAGCCCAGTTGAAATCGAACATGGTACCAAGAGGATTTCATGGAGGTGTCAAGTAGCCAGACAAAGGGCAGAGTACAGCTTGGTCAAAGGAGTGGCTGGAATCAGACACCAAAAAGTATCAGAACATCCTGGCCCCACTCTAATTCCAAAGTCATGTTCAGATTGACTTGTGTTATATTCTAAGGAATATGGCCATCTGGTGTCCTGGGGTCTAATAACTCATAGCTTTGCCTACACTTTGCCTATGACTTTAGTTAACATTCTAAGGAAAACAATTCACTGAACTACTTTGGGTTAGCTATTTCCACCCCTGGACAAATCATTGTGGCCAAGAAGGCAGGTTTCTGGGATTGAAAAACACACTTGAAACACATAATTGACAAAGCAAGACAGCCGTTCTGCAAAGGAATAGAGGCACTGGGCAGACAGTAAGTGTTCATGGCAATTTAGATCTTCATTAAACAGAAACATTTCTGAAATTAATCTCTCCGATAGTCCTCAATAAAACAAAAACAACACATAAAAATGGAAACATACCACTATGTTTTAAACTTTGTATGAAAATACAAGTCCAAGGGTGAAAACCATTGCAAAATGGCCACTTCTTAAAGAAGTAAACATTATGTCATTTAGTCTTCACAACTCCTTGGGGTGATACTACTTCTAATTTACAGATAAACAAAAAATCATACTTTACTAAGTTACTTGGTTACTGGTTGATATTCCAGAGAAGATGAATACTTAGGAAGCTTGATTCCAATGCCTGTAGTTCAAACATTATAACATAAATGCAATAAGAATTAATCAAGATGGACATTCAAAGATTTGCAGGAAAAGATAAAGGAATTTTGGTAAGCATGCACAGGAACCTAGCTCTATTCCAAGTGTTTTCTAATCGCTGGATTCTCTGATACTAATAATAAAAACTTCATGAAGAAGATGTTATTATTTCTATTTTACAGACAAGCAAATGGAGGCTAGAGAGGTAGAATAACTAATAAAGTGTATTAGTACATTCTTATGCTGCTATAAAAATACTCCCCGACATTAGGTAATTTATAAAAGAACGAAGTTTAAATAAGTCACAGTTCCACATGGCTGGAAAGGTCTCAAGAAACTTAGAATCATGGCAGAAGGCAAAGGGGAAATAAAGACCTTCTTCACATGCAGCAGGAGAGAGAAGAGTGAGTGTAGGAAAAACTACCATTTATAAAACCATGAGATCTTGTGAGAATTCACTTACAATCACAAGAACAGCATGAGGGAGGGAAACCACCTCCATAATCCAGTCACTTCCCTCCCTTGACACGTGGGGATTACAATTGTAGGTCAGATTTGGTTGGGGACACAGAGCAAAGCCATATCATGAAGTGTAGTAATAGAATAAATTCTGAATCAGCTCTGCCTAGCTCCCAGCTTATTAGAGTGAACTTTGAAGTACTATTGCCAAAGACCTCTTTCCCTAAAGGTCAGGGGCATGTGTCAGGGAGAAGTAGTTAGGGCTGTAAATATGATGTGGGCATGAAGCAGGCACCTTATCTCTTTATTTCTGATTTAGCTAAATCTCAAATAGCATGTATTTCATGATAAAATAAGATGAAAAAAAGTAAGTCACTTCTAGTATTTGCATCTGATAAAGGGTAACTTTCAAAATATATAAGGAACTCCTACAAGTCAATAGCAAAAAAAAACTAATAACCTAATATAAAAAAATGGGCTAAGGACTTAGATATTTCTTCAAATAGGACACACAAATGGTCAAAATGCATATAAAAAGATGCTCAATGTGACTAATCATCAGAGAAACACAAATCATAACCTCAGTGAGATATCACCTCACACCTGTCAGGATGACTATCCTCAAAAAAATGAAACAGTGAGAATGGACAGAAATTGGAACTCTTGTGGTGAGAATGAAAACTAATGCAGCTCCTATGAAAAACAGTATGGCAGTTCCTCAAAAAATGCCAAATGGAACTACTATATAATCCAGCAATCCCACTTCTATACATGTCCAAAAGAATTAAAATCAAGATTTTAAAGTAACGTTTACATTCCTATGTTTGTTGCAGCACTATTTACAATACCTGAAATGTGAAAACAACCTAAATGTCCACCAGTGCATGAATGGATTTTAAAATACAGTGTAAACATACAATGAATTATTATTTGCCTTTTCAAAAGAAGGAACTCCTGCAATATGTGACAACATAGTTAAACCTTGAGGACATTATGCTTAGTGAAATAAGACAGGCACAGAGGGACAAATACTGCATACTTTCACTTAGATGAGGAATCTAAAATAGTCAAACACATATAAGCAAAGAATAGAAGGGTAGTTGACAGAAGCTGGAGCAATGGGAAAATGGGAAATAGTTAATCAATAAGGATAAAATTTCACTTATATAAGATTCATAAGTCCCAGATATCTGCTGTACAACATTGTGTCTATAGATAATAATACTGTATTATATATCTAATACCTTACCACAATAAAATCAAAGTCAGAAGTCCAATTAATATTGTCTTTCTAAACAAAGTAGAGCAACCCAAGCAAAACTGCACAGTATTAGTCAATAGCCAGTGTAATAGTTCTCACACTGCTGATAAAGACATATCTGAGACTGGGTAATTTACAAAGGAAAGAGGTTTAATGGACTCACAGTTCCACATGGCTGGGAAGGCCTCACAGTCATGATGGAAGAGCAAGGGACATCTTACAAGGTGTGAGGCAAGAGAGAGTTTCTGCAGGGGAACTCCCCTTTATAAAACTATCAGATCTCATGAGACTTATTTACTATCACAAGAACAGCACAGGAGAGAACTGCCCCTTGGTTCAGTTACCTCCCACCAAGTCCAATCTACAACATGTGGGAACTATGGGAGCTACAATTCAAGATGAGATTTGGGTGGGGACACAGCCAAACCATATCAACCAATAAGATTTAAAAAATAGGTGAGATATAGTCCCCACCTTCTTAGATCTCAAAATCAAGCAGATAAGCAAAGAATACATGCAGTGTGATGAGTGTAAACTAGGAAGTATGTATAATGTGGTGGTAGCACATACACACACATTTTGTGTATTCAGCTCCAGGTTAAGGTTAAAGGCAGGCACAGAAAGCTCCTATACTGACAAGAAAGGTAAGGTGGGTTCTCCAACAACAGAAGCATCCACATTTTATGAAAAAGTGTAGGAAAATTAGCTGCTAGTCAGTTGGGGGCTTATGAGTAGCTACTAAAGAGGCTTTAATAGTATGCAAAGGAGTGTGAGGGCTTTTATTTCATGCAAAAATTTTTAAAGTTTTAAATTTATTCTGACAGTAATTTAAGTATAAAATTTTAAACAGAAGATTAATACACCCAATCAAATTTACGTCGAAGTTGCATATTTGCCCTGAAAAATGTGATCATCAGAAAAAGTCATGGTAAATTTTCTTCTTAGATTTGGTGATGAGAAGAAAGAAACTGATAATAACTGAACTTTATACTAGGGCACTTGCTTCTACTGGTGTCTAAGTTTATTTGAATATGAACTACATTGTTTCTATGTTTAAATGTATACACAGGTGTCAGTGATAACTGATAAATTGATGATTGTCCTTTGAAGATTTATCAAGAATGTTATTTTACTGAGTATCTTCTTTCTCAGCTGTCCATAAATAGGATGATTATACAAGGCTTGTGCTTAATTGACAGAAACAAACTAGTTCTATATACAAGTCTGAGTGGCTTCAGATGTCAAATCCGGAAATGACTCTTTAATCGAATGTAATCAAACTGATGGTTTTTAGTAGCAAAAATGAAAAGCTGAAAATGTCTGAGTTTCCTCTTCCTTATATCTCCATGTAATAGGTGTTCACTAAATATTAATTAAATAAATAAATGAAACTCAGTTCAGGTCTTCTCGAAGACTTATTGAAAATGTTTAGGATGTTGGAAACTGTCACTGGTAGTTCAAAGACTTGTAAGACAAAGTTCTGGTCCTATTTTTCAAACTATTATTAAACACAAGCATCTATTGTAATTCTAATGTAATCAACACAATAACAAGGTGCTGTGGAGCATACAGTTTGACTGCCTAGCCTGGAGCATGATGAGATCAGAAGA